TGCATTTCTGCAGTGTGCCTGTTAATTTAATAGGTGTCAGGTGATGTTTTGCATAGAGACATGTGTGATAAAGGATTTACCCTACAAAACAATTACATAASATGTGGTGTGATTTGAACAGTTAAGAGCAATTTCAAGGAAACTAGAATATTTTCTATGGCTCAGACAAGCCCTTTTGATGGTGTTTMCTCATTCAAAAAAAGTAATTTTTAAAAAAATTATGTTGTTTAAAGGCAATTTTCTGTTGGTGTTGAATATTATTGGCCAAATAGATTGTTGCTATGGAACATTGCTAGCTATGAAAAATACAGAAAATGAATTAAAGAAAATCTTATGTTCGATCATTCTTGGAAGATTCAAAAATCTTCCAAGTATATCCTAAGTACACATGAAAGTGGAAACTTTTACCTTTTTCTTCAAAGGTCAAAATATCTGTGTGCATATGATTAATGAATTGTATAAAATCTATTATATGTTATAGCTATATTATATATTATATATATATTACATATTAATATCTCTCTGTTAGGAATCTCTCTTTCTCCTGACACTACTCCTGTAGCCATAGCAGCACCAGACCACTCAATAAATATGTGTTGAATGAAAGAATGCCTGAACAAATAGATGGAATCAAATTCTCTGTAAAAGATAGAAATTGATTTTTAATTGTTATAGTTTATATTTATATTTTGGTCTTTGCTGCTTTTTAACACTTTCTTAATAACTTCAGCTAAGGTRCAATTTTTCCTTAATAGTCTGCTCTAATGCAACTGATATATATAAATTTGAATACTTTATRTTACATATCTAAAGAAAGATCATGGTAATTTTGTTAAAATACAACCTRTATTTCTGCTGAGGAGTAAATTTTTATGATTTTCATCAAAACCCATAAAAATAAGTAGGCATTAGGTTTCTGTAAAGGATTTGAAATCTCTCTCCAAAGATTACCTAAGATCACTTTAAGAATGCTATTGCCATTAACAAATACATTAACATTGCATAATGCCTTTTAAAAGTTGATAATTGGTTATTTCCATTGAAAGAGTTACAGAGAATTAGGACAAAAGTAGAATACAAATTCACCCATCATCCCTCTGGCAGAAACTCAAGTCATTTTAGTAAAATTCAGATATTTAAGCAGATGAAAAGCAGCACAATGGATGCCAGATTTTTTGCCTTAAAATTTACTTAATGTAATAAAAAGATTAGGCAGATTTCAGGCAGAATAGGATAGATATGTAAGCAAGATAATCTGATAATTCAATTCTAGTTATTTATTTTTACCACAGGGGTCCCCATCTTTTAAAGAACCTAAATATAGTGAAATTTACTTGATACTAAAGGTACTTAGACTACAATTTAATCTCTCTTTGATGATGGACACCAAAGAAATTTCAGTAGCCAGCCTTATTACAGGTTATTATCACTAAGACATGTATTGTATCAGAAAAACACAATACTGCATGTGAATGTAGTCCTCTGTTAGTAAAGAGCCAGGAAAGATACTTTATCTCAAATGGAGTCACCTCTAGCTGAGGAAGCCTGTTGCCTTCTGTTAGGCACAGCAGAGTTTTAAAAATTGACTTTCTGAAGTACTTATTTTATTTTTAAACTTTGTCAAGAAATTGTTTCCTTCTGTCACCAAGGAGCTCTGTCCGAGGTCTGAGCTTAACCCTTGCTAGAGAGTGAGGGACGTGAACCAGCATTTTGTCGKGTGGAACATGTTAGGAATACAAAACCATGAACCTGCTGCAGAATAAATGAAATCAGAGATACATTTTTACTTGATCTCTGTGCCCACTCAAGTTTGAGAAACATCAAAGAAAATAGCTCTTCCATCACTTTTTTATATTATCATAGGTTTTCTTCTTTTAGTGGAAGGGAGTAAGCAGTGCAAGTAAGTTTTATGTGTGCTTACTTTTGTGTTTGAAATAGAAAAAGAGAGTCATTTTTAGTGCAAACCTCTTTTCCCCACATGGGAACCTTCAGAAGTCATATGATGTTGTTAATTGCCTCCACTACGAAAGGATGTTTCTAGCTATACTAGTGTCTAGAATCTAGTCCCATAGCCATGACACTGTCCCCCCCCATCCTCTCCTTGAGAGCAAGCTAATTATCAGAAAAAAAAACCCTGATTATGTGTCAGGAGGAAGAGGAAAGGATGGATTTGTAAACAAAGTGGCATAACAAAGGCAGTAGCTATGCTGCATGACAGGTTACCAGGCATCCACACTCTGCCAAGCACTATGCTTGTTGCTGGGAATGAAAGATCAATCATGATGGGACTCTGCCACCGAAGGAACTGGCAGTCTAATAGGAGTCAAATGGAGTAAAATGGCCCTTGCAAGCACTGGAATCACGTGATCTGCCATCAAATCCCTGCCATCTGCTTCCTAGCTCTGTATCATTAACAAGTTACTGAGCCACTCAGCCTCAGTTTTGTCAGTGCAAAGGCAGTTTAATAGCAATGTCTTTCTTTCAAAGTGGTTGTGAGGATAAAGTAAAATAATTAACCTGAAGTAGTTGCTACASTTCGTGACACCTAATAAACATTGGGCACAAGTAAGTAAAAGCAAGTATAATTTAAGAAACACTGGTAGAAGTACACAAGAAGTTTTCTGGGAATCACAGACAAAGGAGGCCTGCCTGGCTTAGAGAGAGAGGGAAAGTAGGGAAGAGCTTGCCAGAAGATGTAACCTTTGAGGTGAATTTTGGAAGATTAGTCAAGTTTGCCAGCAGAGAAAAGATAAGAGATTCCAAGCAGAGGGCATTTCAAGTACCCGAGTCAAATCCAGCACTGCGGAGGWTTTTATCTGTGAAATAGCAGGCAGTGTGGAGGGACTGGGGTGCAGAAAGACAGGATATAATAAGAGTGACTCAGAGAGGTTAGCTGAGGCCATGTCATGGATTATATGTTTAATTCTGGAGAAGTTGAACTGTGCTAAGGCAAGAGAGGGYCTTTGACAGTTTTAAGCAAAGTCACATGATATGGAGAAGTGAGATGGAAGACAAGGAATCTGTTAGAGATTTATTCCTCCCTGTCTTAGTTCTCTTAAATGTCAAACTCATCATGCTCAAAATCAATCCTGTCCCCTATCCTGAAAAATAGCACAGCCATTCACTGAGTTCTTCAAGCTGAAAATTAGTAATTGTCTTTGAATCCTCAACTTCTAGTAGCTCCTTCTTCCCTCACCTCCCTGGCCCTTTCCCCACCTTCCCCTTTCCACCCACCCCGTAGACCAACTGTTACTCTTTGCTTCCAAAATTCTGAACCTGACCTTTCTTTTCACTCACTACTGCTGCAGCCCTAACAGAACCCTCATCTCCATCCTCCTCACTTCCTCTTAAAAAAAATATCTGCTTGTAACAAATCAAGGCTTCATCCAGCTCCCCTTGCCTTGGGGTCAGTATCCACATGCCCTTATCTAGCAGATTACACACTTCTCCCACATTTCTAATTCTGCCTCTAAATTCTACTAAAAGGTGGTATCATCATTTCATTTTGACTTAACAAATTAACCTTTGTTGTGGAAACAACTAGTGACTGACCAAACACATTTAATTTTATTGAGTGGAATTGCAGAGATTTCTTGTGGGAAATTAACTCAGAAGATTTTTTTCCAGTTGCATCACCACCAGCTCCTTTGCAATTATGTGAACCAGCTGTATAAAAGAATAAATTGCTTCTTCAAATGTACTGGTGTCATTTAACTAGGAGTTGCTTTAGTTGTATTGAGTTAAATAGCAAAGGTTAAATGGGTACACATTGGGGCCACTTTTAGCTATCCTATCCCATTTTCATTTCTCAGACTTTGGTTGCAGTTTTTACATTTGGAAAGAGATTTCAAAAATACAGTGACAAAACTCTGCAGTTTTCTCTTGTTGTTATAGATGGCTGATATGGTAAAGCATACCTGGCTCGCTTCCCAGATCAGTGCCTGTGGTCCTCAGCTTAACAATAAAACAATTTCAAATTAATATAGCTCTTTTTCCTGAGCCAGTAGACAGTTGGTCTTCTTAGCTGGGCTATCTGATACCTTATGAGTATTCCATTTAAGAAAATATACTSTAAATGTGGAAATGGAATAGATAAGTCATTTCAGGGCAAACAGAGTATATCTACTTTTTAAAAGAACTCAAATTAAGATATTTTTATAGTTGTTTCAAAAATATCTATTTAATGTAAATGTTACTATTCTCCTTCAGAAAATTCTACGAGAGCTTAGTAACTACAAATACCCAACTGAAAGACAACAGAACATTTTAAATTWGGGGACAATTTATAATTTCTTATTCTTCCTTTTCTCTGTTATGATTCTTTTCTTTGTTTTATCTATTGTTAGATTTAACACTTTCCTAATTTTCCTTGTTTTAATATGTTCTAAAGGAAGTGACTCTCAGGTTTCTATTATAAAGTATATAATACTTATATACTTTACTGTAAGTATATAAATGAGGGAAAATCAATTGTACATTTGTAAAAATATCAAAGGCCTGGTGTTTAGATATTCATGTTGTTTATGTATCATAATGAAAATTAAATCTAGCAAATGATAAAATAATATAAATAGGGAAATTGCACATTTAAAATCTGCATTTGTATGGCAAATCTATTTTTTATGTGATTTTAAACTCCTAAAGATTACAGTGAGAAGAGTTTAATGAGAAACTGTTCAAAAGTGGAGCAGAGATGTAAATTATTCAGTAACTATATATATATATATATATATATATATAYACACACATACATACATACATAGGCACAAGTTGACCTTGTGTTTTCAAAAGAACTTCAGATTGTCATTTAAATTTTCTATTTTGTGATGTTTTGGCTTTAGTGTTTTTTACCATATATTTAGATGCAATATTTGTAGAATTTTTCAGTGAATCATTGCTTTCATTGTAAATTGGAGAAATAATCTCCCTTCCTTAGTTAGAAAAAAATAATGATTCATGAAGAGATGAATGTTGATTTTTTTTTTTTTAATATCTTTCAGGCCTGAAGATTATCGGATCTAAGAGAAGGAAAATTACAGTGAAGCGATKTAGGCTTCTTCCTGATAAGTTTCTCTGCCCTAGAACAGTGAAACAACTGCTTCAGGAAACTGCACTAAGACTCGTTATTTTATAGAATTGTTTTGTTATGTAATGATCGAAATAAAACTGCTTCCTGGTAGTAAGTACCAAAATAATGCCCATCTCTGGATTTTCTCAAGTTCTAGAACACTCTTCTTGTGCCCCACGAAGAGGCACCTCCTTTGCTTTTCCTTTATTGGCTATTCTGTCTATCCTCCTATCCAGCTAAGCTCATCCTGTCAGCTCAGTAAGGCAGACTGTCATCTTTTTCTGTGTCCCAGATAGCCTTTTGATTTTGTGACTCCAAGATAATAGAATGCCTGTCTACTCCCTAGAACTCTCCCTGCCATACCTGTGTTGTTGTTTGCCAACTCTGCACTGTTCTCCATATTCCCTCTGTTGGTTCTTTTCACCTCCATGCTGGACACTTAGATTGGAGTGCTGGGGTAAATATCCCTAGAAGAATATCCTCTCTAGAAATTAAGATGTCAGTGCATTTTTATGGTGGCATTTTTGTGGTTTTTCCTTCTCTTCCCCTATCTTACCAATCAAGGAGTGACTTTCTGATTTATTCAGCAAACATACCGACTGCTGCTATAATKCCAGGCACAGTGCTAGGCACTGAGAAAACAGAAACCACATATGTCTCTCATATTTCCTTTCCCTACCAAAGAGCATATAGTCTATTGTAGAGTAAGAAGCACCTGCTGTGTACCAGGAAGAGCAATGTCATATGAGTTAATTTATTTAATCTCTACATCAGCCGTATAATAGACATATAGTTTGTTTTTTTTTTTCCCCTATTTAAAATTAGGCACACAGAAAGTAGTATAGTTTAGATCCAGAATGTCCTAGATCCTCCGGTTAGAGGCTTGGGCCTCAGCATAGTGCTATTGGGAGGTAGTGAAAACATTAAGAAGTAGAACCTAGCGGGGGTCTTCCACTTATTGGGAGCATGCCCTGGAACAGGAGAGTGGGACCCCAGAGCCTCTTCATCTCTCTTGCATTCTAGTCAGGAAGTGAGCAGCTTTGCTCTACCACATGCTTCTTGCCCCAAGTCCAAAAGCATCAGGGCTAAAGACCAAGGACTGAAACCTTCAAAACTGAGCCAAAATATACTTTTCCTTTTTATAAATTGGTTATGTTAAGTATTTTGTTACAGAAACAGGTAACACAAATTAACTCGGCATGGTCACTGAGGTAAAGTGGTAAAACATCCTAATAATTACATACCCTGGGAAATACAACCACAATAGCCAAATAAGAATCACAGCTCACCTGAGGGAGGAAGAAACTGGACCACTAGAATAGCAGTTCCTATCAAAGTAAAATGAAGAAACAGAAGAGAGCTTCTTTGCTTCCAGTACTGAGGATTGAACCTAGGGGTGCTCTTAACCACTAAGCTACACCCACAGCCTTTTTTATTTTTATTTTGAGATGTGGTCTCTAAGTAGCTGAGGCTGGCTTCAAATTTGTGATCCTCCTACCTCAGCCTCCTGAGTCACTAGGATTATAGGCATGCCACCATGCCTGGCCAGAACATTTTTTCAAGTAATAAATTCTTACTGAAAAATAAATCCTAATTTTTCCAAAAATTATATGATGAAGTCATTTTTTCATAAGCAATTGTTTATCAGGTAAGTGTGTTGCATTATTGGTTAATGTAAAGTAAACATGAAAAATGCTATCCTGCTGAGCATAGTGGCCTGGGAAGAATATACTATACCTGATATTATCCATTTTACCCAAGTGCACTATCTGATTTAACTTGTTGTATTCCAACTCTCAGCGTTTGCAAAGTTTTGATACAAGAGAAAGTGTGATGTTAATGATCATGCTGATCATCATAGGAAACAACACTTAAAAACAAAAGAAATGAGCTTAATATTAACTTCCCAATAATTACCTCCTCTCCAGAGAACTGACAACTGAAAATCACTTTCAGAGGGTTGGAAATAACTACTAACCTCATACAGGAAGAGAGCAGTTTGTGTCTTACAGTCAAATTTGGGGCCAGACTTTTTTAATGGGGAATACTTAAAGCAATAAAAGCTGGGTTTCTGTTTTAAGCCAGTTCAAGTCAATTAAAAACARGACAATAGGTTACATCCATCTTCCTGTCACTTCATTTAAAAAACTATGATCATCCAACATAGCTGGAAATTCCCCATAGCTCATATGGGGCTCCCTCAACTCAAAAGCCACAACCCTTCACTATGGACACTTCCATCCAGAAAACTTCATGTGTTAAAAGCTCATTCAACATGTGCTGTAGTATCCCTTTATTAGAAATTTGTGTTTAGACTCGTGGTGTCACAAGACTACAAGTGTTTAGTTTTCTGCCTCAACTCCATTTTTCCCATGGCCCTTATATTTTTGGCAGGCAAACTTTCATTATGCAGGGATTTTTAGGAATGCATGTGCCATGCTATGGGACAACAATAATCATTGTAACTATTGATTTATTGCATCTTCCTGCTAGTCTGACTCCTCTTCTAGAGTCCTGAAGAGTCACACTGCTTCCACCCCAGCAGACAGGGCCACGTGGGAGACACTGACTCTGGTACCATATCCTTGCCACACCTGTGTTGACGCAGGAGGCAACTCACTAATACCTCCTGAATGGGCACACCTGTTGCCAGAGTCAGTCCTTGTCACCAAGCACTGAATATCTCAGGGATTTAATCAGGATTTGGCAGGAGGAGATATTTGCAACCATCCTTTGCCCGGACTTTTATTTCCTATCCTATTTTTCTACTCCAATTAACAAGATGCCTACTAAGAAGTATGATTGGTGAGGTTAATAAGGAAGTCTCTTTGGTTTAGATAAATTGGACCATGAGGCCCAGAGATTTGTGTTGGTAGTGAAGAAACACTGCCAAGTATAATGCACTAATAATTTTTTTTTAAAAGAGTTTGTGAGGGGAAAGGGGGAAAAAAAAACAAGGGAGACAATTGAATAACAGCAGATGGGGTAGAGAGGGAAGATGAGAGGGAAGGGGAGGGGGGATAGTAGGGGATAGGAAAGGTAGCAGAATACAACAGTCACTAATATGGTATTATGTAAAAATGTGGATGTGTAACCRATGTGATTCTGCAACTTGTATTTGGGGTAAAAAATGGGAGTTCATAACCCACTTGAATCAAATGTATGAAAGATGATATGTCATGAGCTTTGTAATGTTTTGAACAACCAATAAAAAAAAGGGATAAGACAGTAGAATTTTGTTTTACTTGTAAGATTTAATGGGAATGAAGGAGGTTTAAAAAAATGCAATGTAAATTGTAGTTACCAGATTCCTGCTATAGTTTCTATTACGAATTTCTTCCAAGCAAAATACTGACACTGTCCCTATGCATGTGCCTCATCTTTTTTGTATGCTGCAGTTGACTGATTTGTTTTCCTACCTTCTGAAGGAAAGAGGGCTTAACCATGTTCAGCTAAGAACAACATTTAATGTCCAGGTCTATACTGGCTAACCAGCCCTCAACCGTGGAACAGGTAGCAGGGCCTAAATCTGCAAAGCTGGAGCCCCTGGAGTGATTCTGCTGCCAAGTTCTACAAAGTGGAGTTTGAATTGGATGGAACCCTATTTAAGATGGTATGAGCTTTCCAAGACAGACATCAAGGCCTCATTTCAGCTTAAATACAAGCTCTTGCAGAGAAATGATATTTCTCCTACTCTGCCCAAAACATCTAAAATAAAGAGAATTGAGTAGTTTTGCAGCATCACCTCCACTCAGGGCTTCACCTTGGAAGAATGTAAATCTGAGATGGGCTACCAGTAAAACAGATGGTCAGCGCCACCTGAGGGCCAATTTTCATTAGGCTACCTGCCAGGAAGGTTTAGAATATGTTTTCCACATGAAGACAGAATAATAGGGCCTCTGAAGAGACAGATTTGTAACAGTGCCACTTGGGCCATGAGGGCCTCTTTGATTTCAAACAAATCTTTACTTCAAGATTTAACTCTGCTTTCACTGCCCTCACACTTCAATTCCAAAGTTAATACCTATTAAAACATTGCACAGTGTCTGCTAGAAGGCCATTCTATTCCTGGTAGAACACCTGTGCTTTATAAGTTGATGTTGCAGATCTCCCCCTCATCAGCCTGTACTAAATCCATTAGAATCAACACTTTGAAATTATGATGCAATTTGGCATCTTCTTTAGCAATCACAACACTAAAATGAGTCTGACTATTTAGAGGACATTTTGAGGATAAAGCATCTGTGTTTATTTTTTGCCAAATTCACATAGTCCAAATACAATATTGGTATAGCTTGTTAGAAGGATATTACCAGTTATTTTTACTATTAGTGCACCATTACCAGCATGGTATGTGTGCAGAGCCAGGAAATTATGGGAGAAATGTGAATATGTGTATTCTTGAGACACTTTTCTAGTAGCTTAAACCTTGGATTAAGCAGCCAACTCTTCCAGTCTGTATTAACAAGGGATCAGCTGCTGTATTTCATTCAGTCATGCAAATAACRTGTCATGGATAGAATCCTAGATGCTTGAGATACATATGTAAATAAAGCAAAATTGTATGTTATCATGGAGCTACATTCCAGTAAAGGAAGGCAAGTAATAGACGATATGTACTTTATATTAAATATAAGGGTTATACAAGTTAAATAGTAGGTGTCAAGGATGAAATAGCTACTAACACAAAATTCGTGCATAACACCACCCTAAAATAATAATTTGGGGTCCTTTTCTGCACTTATTTTAGTGTCCATGTGTGCAACATAGATGGAGCTTCACTGATTTCCACTAGGTTCAGCTGGGCTTACCTCCACGCTAAAGCTTGGGTCCAGGTCTAATCCATGAGCCCCAGAACTAATTGTTCTAGATGTTTCAAACCTCTGCTTGTGTTGTGTGCATTAACATTCCACAGGGTTAAACGGAGGTATTCCAGCATAGAAGTAGTGGAAAGGGGCCAGAAGGTGTGGGGTTTGTTTTGTTTGTACTGGGAGTGAACTCCAGGAAGCTCTGTCACTGAGCTCCATTGTCAGCTCTTTTTATTTTTCATTTTGAGACAAGTTTTCACTAAGCTACCCAGGTTGGCTTGGAACTTAGGGTCCTTCCTGCCTCAGCTTCCTGAGCAGC